GTCCAACTGGAGGTTCCAGAGGCAGCACATAACTCCCAGATGATCCTGGCCCCTTCTTGCCTCTGCCCTCATCTGAGCCTTCCTCAGACTCCAGGACTGGCCCATGTTCCTCCCCAACCTCCTCACTGTCTGACTTTGCTGCCAGTTCCACAAGCCACTGGTAGACCACAACACTTTGCATCCTTAAATTCCTTGACATACATGTATTTTTCTTTTCTATAATCCCTTTCTTTGGGGTGGAGTCAAGGCGACTGAATGGAGCTAAGCGTTTACTAGCCTGATGCCCTTCCTGATGCCTACGTGGAGCTCCCAGCTGATATTTTGTCTTTGCACCCTGATAGAGAAGCATCTGCCGATGCCTGGGATTGAACCCTCAACCTTCCAAGTGGGAGGCGAGTGTCTTCATCTCTAGGCCACCATGCTACTCTGCTTGCATTACATGCATAAACCAGCAAAAATGAAAATAACTTAATGATTTTCTTTTTTGGGATTTCAGCCCATTCTTACATTTTGACTGTGGTAGTAGCATGGCGTTCTATTCACATTGTATCTGCTATAGCTCTGATTTATGGATTCTCCTTTTATTCATGCTGGGAGAGCAAATATCTAAGATATTACTAATTTTAAAGAAAATTCTTAAAATTTGCATTGGTTAATCTGTAAATGGAAAAGGAAACATGTAGTGGTTTACCAGCCCAGCATTCTCCCTTTCAATTTTGGTTCCATTTCTATTCAAATTTACAATTAATTCCTGGAGGATGAGACTAAAAATTCAAGAGGACTTTACAAAGTCCAGAGAATATAGATTTCAGTGCATACAGTGAGAATAGCACAAGAACAGTGGTATACTGAGTTGATAATTCATTTGACTTCTTAATCTCATGTAAAATGGTTCAGAATTTTAACTAATTCTACTAGAAATTATTCTCAAATAAGTAGGAAAAGTATAATTTAGATATTTATTATGAGAAAAAAATCAATGAACAATGAAATATATATTTCAACATAAATATGATAGAATTGATTGAACCTACATTTTCCTCATTTATTTGAAAATATGCTCTATTGAAGTCTATTCTATTGAATATTCAATGAAATCAATACAGATCGAATTGAACTGTATGTCAGACAGCTCAATTATTTTCCACTATGATGTCATCATTATATGCTAAAACAGTGATATTACTAAAGTTTGAAAAGTTGCATAGCACTACTTAACCTCCTTAAAAGCTGACACCAAAAATTAAATGCCTAGCAATCACAACAGTCTTTTTCCTGTAGCTTTTTCCACATAAAGTGTCTCTAGAACAATGTGTTTTTTTTTTTCAAATTTGGCAACTTTAAGATATGTGGGATTCAACTCCCAGGATTCCCCAGTCATGAGGAAATCTGGGAGTTTTAAAGTCAGAAAAAATACTGCTCCAGAGGTAATGTCCTACAATATGTATGACAATTGAAGTACAATGAATTGTGACTTCATGGATTCCATTTTGCGGATTATTGATGCAACATGTCAGATTTTCATCCAGATATTCTTCCAAAATAATAAAAAAGTCCTTTCCATCCATATAGTATGGAGGAAATAAGTTAACTTTTATGTTAATGTTACCTTAATATTAGCATATCCACAATAATTTAAGTAACTTGCACCATGATGCAAACTGTTATTTACATTCATGTATGTCATTTATGTAGGGACGTGGTGGCTCAGTGGCTAAGACACTGAGCTTGTCAATCAGAAAGGGTGGCAGTTTGGCTGTTTGAATCCCAAGCGCCACATAATGGAGTGAGCTCCTGTTACTTGATCAAAGAAAGTATCTACCATTTATTGCTGACTGAAAACCCATAATTGACTTTTTGTGTGAAAAAAATGAACTTTTGATTTATGGTTTGGATGATCAGACAGACTAGATTATATAAAGAGAGTTCATTGTAACCATAGAGTAAAAGCAAATTTATAATTGTATGTATAACTGCTATAAAGAAGATTGGAAGCTATTTCTTTGTATATTTGGTTTACTTTTCCGTCCCCCCCCCCCTTTCTTGTACTTTCAACTTTCTCTTTGATTTCTTCCTTGTTCTTACTCTGTATTATAAGGGACATGGTGGCTCAGTGGCTAAGATGCTGAGCTTGTTGATCAGAAAGGTCAGCAGTTTGGTGGTTCGAATCCCTAGCACTGCGTAACAGAGTGAGCTCCTGTTACTTGTCCCAGCTTCTGCTAACCTAGCAGTTCGAAAGCATGTAAAAATGCAAGTAGAAAAATAAGGACCACCTTTGGTGGGAAGGTAACAGTGTTCCGGGTGCCTTTGGCATTTAGTCATGCTGGCCATATGACCACAGAGATGTCTTCAGAGAGCACTGGCTCTTTGGCTTTGAATGTAGATGAGCACTGCCCCCTAGAGTCAGGAATGACTAGTACATATGTGCGAGGGGAACCTATGTCATTTGTGTAATGAACTAATTGTAACAGATAAAATGAATTGCTACAATCCATTAACCATTAATGAATATTTGAAACCATTAAGTATATCTCCTCTTCTACATCCCCAGGTTCATTAAAAGGAAATTTCATTGTATTGTTGTTGATGGTCATCAGATCTTGGAACTACATCCAGTTTTATAATCCTTCTGCTTAGTTACTTATATCAGTGAGAGATCTTCTGAAGATACCTTTAATATGAGAACCTCAACTATCAGGTATGTGAGAAAGAACTATCTCTTGTAGAATGCACTTTCTGTGAAAATGCATGTGGTTCCTACTTTCTCAAAATTTAGGAAAATGGCACAAAATTCATCTCATTTGCCAAGCATTTAGCAGTTTACTAGTTATAATGGTGGTTTTTAATTATAATTTTAATAGTATTGATTTTTGTATTTTGGGGTGCTGTTCTAAGTGCTGTAACAATTAAAGTGAGGTATACAATGAACAACAAAGAAAGCAAGATAAGGTATAACATAAAATGAGATAAGATAATAGAAACAATGCTTTCTTGATTTAAATTTAAAATAGTCATGCTTTACTGAGTGCATTATTTTCAGCATAATGGTGTTCATGGAAAGAGTCAAAGAAATCAAGATAATTGCTACAGTTCTTGGTGAATGGATATTTGAATCCTTGTTCTTTTTTACATGCATCACAACACAAAAAAAATAAGACAGGTCTTCTATTATGCAATTATAGATCCCATCTTGACTTTTTTGACCCCTTCACCTAAATAAGCTTTTCTTACTTATAGATAAGTATTATTATGTGAATGAAAATGCATTCATAGAAAAGAAAGTAATCTTTCTCTATCACAATCTTCAGGGGAATAGAATATTAAGATGCCAAGGTTGAGAAACACTGATGTAGACCATTATACAATACAATACAATAGCAGTGTTGGAAGGGACCTTGGAGGTCTTCTAGTCCAACCCCCTGCCTAGGCAAGAAACCCTATACCATTTCAGACAAATGGCTATCCAACATCTTCTTA